TTAATCCCATCGCTCAGGAGGTGGAGGCAGGCGGACTCTGTGAGTCCGAGGCCAGCCTGGTCTACAGAGCAAGATCCAGGACAGCCAGGGCTATACAGAGAAACCCTGTCTCGAAAAACCAATAAACAAATAAATAAACAAATGCACCGTTCATGGTAACTAGTTCCTGTGAGGGAAATAGTGTTTCAGAGGTCAGAGAACAGGGCAGGAGCATTACCGTGGACATGGGAGCCAGCTCGTAGGGGGTAACGTGAATTGTCAGGTGAATGGGGAACAGTGTCACAGGAAACTGAAACAGACGTGGAAAGTGTAAGGATTATGTCCTTAATTACATCACCAGCCTGGGATGGCGTCCCAGCCTAAAGAGGGGGCGTGCCCTCTCTGTGTTCTCTCTTCCCACACTCTCTCCTTCCATACTCCCCCCCTCGGTGCGGTCTTTCTCTCTCCCAATAAAGCTCTAGAAAGGTAACTATGGCTTGTGATTCTTCCGCCAACCAGCACTCTCCTCTGTGGGCATGGCCCCTGAACCAACAGAAAGGCCCTGAAGTGGAGAGAATCCAAACTAGCCAGAGGCCAACGTGTCTGGACAGAGTGAGGGAGAGTGTCAATATTCTGAACCGCCCCCTGAAATCCCACCCCTTGTCGCTGCCCTGCCACCCGATGTAAAAGCCTCATTCTAAGAAAAACTCCTCCCTTCCTCTCTCTTCCTCCGCTTTTCCTTCCACAAAGTGCACTCCTTAGACCCCCTCACTCTCCTTCTCTCTTTCTCTCTGTCTTTCTCGTCACCTCTCTATTATAATAAACTCTCCACATGGATGCAGCATCTGGGTTGTGAAGTAGTGGCCGCCGCCATGCCCGCATGGTGTACGTCTGCCCAGCACGTTTCTGTTGCTAGAGTTTTCCTGCCTGGCCCACAATCAGGACAAATCTCTCTCACCCGCCAGTCCCAAGCCGCTCAAACCCGATCAAGTAAACACAGAGACTTATTTTGGTTACAAACTGTATGGCCGTGGCAGGCTTCTTGCTAACTGTTCTTACAGCTTAAATTAATCCATTTCTATTAATCTATACCTTGCCACGTGGCTTGTGGCTTACCGGTACTTTACATCTTCCTTGTCCTGATGGCGGCTGGCAGTGTCTCTCTCTCAGCCTTCCACTTCCCAGCTCTATTCTCCTCCTTGTCCCGCCTATACTTCCTGCCTAGCCAATGGCCAATCAGTGATTTATTTATTGACCAATCAGCAACACATTTGACATACAGACCATCCCACAGTACGTTTCCCTGCACGCACGTGTGCAGGGTACCCTCGGTGTTCCCTCAGCACAATAATTCATAACAGAGAGGACATTAAAATGGAACAAAACAAAAATCCAGGTGCCTCCCAGCTGGGTCTTCAATGCCAACTCTGTTTACATGCCTTGTGGTGACCAGATGCTTGCAGGGTTCAATCCAGGACCTCCTCGTCAAGCATCCCAGCTTGTCTCCAGAGGTTCAGGCTACAGTTTACAGAATAGTTGTTGCGGGCACAGAGGTCCTGTACTCAAAGAGATGTACTAAGAGAACCAGGAATGTTAATCACACAGGGGAGTCTCCTCATTGGAGGAGATAAAATCAAATACCTACATTCCATCCAGAAGGCTGAGAGTGGATTTGTTAAAGACCTGGCGACCTTTTTGCTATCTGTGGAAGCAGACCTCACTCACCTTTTGCTATAGAGGAAGACCCTTACTCAAATTTCCCAGAATGATTATTCCAGACTCGTCCCTGTTAGGATTCCTGGCCACTCCCCCAGCTGCATGACGGCACATGCACTGTCCAGTAGGCAGGGAAGACGCTATGTCACCCTAGGGCCTTATGTCCTGTGTAACCCTTGCACTGTGTGATCATGTAATCTATTCGCATGTGTGGCGTAGCTACGTAAGCCCATGTGTGCATATGTGTGTGGGGACCTATAAAAGCGGGTTCCACCTATTCCTTCTCTCTCTTCCTGCGTAGACATTCCATAGGCCTATGCACACCCTTTCTATTCCCTTAATAACTCTTATAGTGGGTTTCGTTGTGCCTTGTGGCTTCTCTTGCATGGTAAACAGTGCCACTTAATAAATAACAGTCCCTCCCTAGACCGTTACCCATCTTTAGGGGAGATGTCTAAAGCACTCTATGTCCTGCTGATCTCTACGCTATCTCTCCCGGAGACACACTAGATTCTAAAAGACCACACTAGGTCTTTTAGCTATAGAACCCACCTTCACGGTCACATGGACTTTGTAAAGGAGTTTGTTCGTAGTCACATCTTAAGCTTTATTCTACACCTGGAATTGCCGTGATTGTATCCTGGAAACCTTTTCCCAAATTGTATTGTTTGAAATATGCTGACAATGAACCTCGGGCATTGGACTCCCGAAGTCTGGTCCAGGTTGATGAAGTCAATCTACTCCAGGTTTTCATTCTCATCTCTCCAAGAGGTATGCTTCCCTGCTTGACACCTGCAGGGACACCCTCCACAGGTCATGGGGTGATCTGTGACTGGTGCAGGTCAGGAGGTGGAGAACGGGAGGGGCCTTCTTCAGGAAGCTACGGTTGGGTTGCATCGGGTCTGCTCACTGCTGGGCACCCCAAACCCCACTCCACCCTCACCCTGGCATCCAGGTTCTGCTCAGTGCACCCTTCCCCCAGCCCCAGGGGCTTCTTCATACAGCAGGGGAGCCAAGTCCGGCAGGATAGCATTCCTGAGCTAGCAGAGGCTATGACGTTGTTATTCCTGTCACTCTTACCTGCCTAGTGAGCTCCCAGGGGATTTAGGGCACTGAGGAAGTTTCTGGAAATCTCTCTTCTTGTCAGTGTTGATTGGCTCATGTCCCAGAAAAGCTGAGAGATGGGACAGACTCATCTGTCTCTACTCAGTCATGGAATTTAGAAAGCATCCATGCAGCTGGGCAAGGTGGTGCCTTGTGTCACTCAAGCTGGATGGGAAGGAGAGGCAGGAGGGTCATGAGTTCGAGCCAGCCGAGGCAACTTAGTGAGACCTTGTCTCAAAATAACAAGGGCGAGTTCCAGAAAAGGTGCACAGGGGAACCCTGTCTCAAAAACCAAAAAAAAAAAAACAAAAAAAAAAAAAAAAAAAAAACACCCAAAAAACAAAACAACAAAAAAAGAAAAAAAAAAACCTAGAGCGGGTAAGATGGCTCAGCTGCTAAAGGCACTTGCCACCAAAACCGACCTGAGTTCAGTTGGTGGAAGGGCAGATCTGATTCCTGCCAGCTGTCCTCCGATCTTCACACACAAAATAAAAAATAAAAAAAAAAAAAGACTCCAAGGAGGCTGAGGGCCTGGCTAAGGAATAGAGCCCCCTCCAGGAATCCCCCAGTGAGGGGCTGGGGGCGTGGTCATGGTGGAGCCCCGCCCAGAATCCCCAGTGAGGGGCTGGGGGCGTGGTCAGGGTGGAGCCCCGCCTAGGATCCCCAGTGAGGGGCTGGGGGCGTGGTCAGGGTGGAGCCCCGCCTAGGATCCCCAGTGAGGGGCTGGGGGCGTGGTCAGGGTGGAGCCCCGCCTAGAATCACCAGTGAGGGGCTGGGGGCGTGGTCATGGTGGAGCCCCGCCCAGAATCCCCAGTGAGGGGCTGGGGGCGTGGTCATGGTGGAGCCCCGCCCAGAATCCCCAGTGAGGGGCTGGGGGCGTGGTCATGGTGGAGCCCCGCCCAGAATCCCCAGTGAGGGGCTGGGGGTGTGGTCAGGGTGGAGCCCCACCTAGAATCCCCCAGTGAGGGGCTGGGGGCGTGGTCAGGGTGGAGCCCCGCCTAGAATCCCCCAGTGAGGGGCTGGGGGCGTGGTCAGGGTGGAACCCCGCCCAGAATCCCCAGTGAGGGTCTGGGGGCGTGGTCAGGGTGGAGCCCCGCCTAGAATCCCCCAGTGAGGGGCTGGGGGCGTGGTCAGGGTGGAGCCCCGCCCAGAATCCCCAGTGAGGGGCTGGGGGCGTGGTCAGGGTGGAACCCCGCCCAGAATCCCCAGTGAGGGTCTGGGGGCGTGGTCAGGGTGGAGCCCCGCCCAGAATCCCCAGTGAGGGGCTGGGGGCGTGGTTAGGGTGGAGCCCCTTCCAGGAATCCCCCAGTGAGGGGCTGGGGGCGTGGTCAGGGTGGAGCCCCGCCTAGAATCCCCCAGTGAGGGGCGTGGTCAGGATGGAGCCCCGCCCAGAATCCCCCAGTGAGGACCTTAGGAGTGGAGTTCTTGTTGTGGAACAGAATATTGGTTTAACTATGTAAAGGTGTGTTGCATCTGTTTGTGTTGCAGAATAATTGTTTAACTCTGTAAAGATGTGTTACTGGTTTACCTTGCCTAACTAAGGCACCTGATTGGTCTAATAAAAAGCTGAAGCCGGGCGGTGGTGGCGCACGCCTTTAATCCCAGCACTCGGGAGGCAGAGCCAGGCGGATCTCTGTGAGTTCGAGGCCAGCCTGGTCTCCAAAGCGAGTTCCAGGAAAGGCGCAAAGCTACACAGAGAAACCCTGTCTCGAAAAACCAAAAAAAAAAAAAAAAAGCTGAATGGCCACTAGCTCGGCAGAGGAGGGATAGGTGGGGCTGGCGGGCACAGAGAAAAGGGCGCCAGCCAACCGGAGGCCAGTCAGCCAGACACAGAGGAAGCTTGAAAGCAGGATGGACAGCAGTGGATGAGGTAAACGAGCCTCAGGGCCACACACAGATGAATAGAAATGGGATAATTTAAGTTAAAAAAAAAAACTAGCTAGAAAAAAGCCTAAGCTAAGGACGGGCATTCATAATTAATTAGTCCCCGTGTCACGATTTGGGGGCTGGCGGTCTAAGGAAGTTAGACCTGGTGGTCTAAGGAAGTTACTAGTTCTGACATCAGCAGAGATATGTTGTCCTTGGGAAAATCCTCCCAATATCCCCTCATCTTCTTTGGTGACCCTGCGGGACCTTGGGTTGGGAGGAACCTGCAGTGCCTGGCAATGGCTAGGGAGCTGCACACAGGCAACCAGCAAAGCTGGGTCTTTGCAGATTTTATTTCTGTGAGTAGGGAAGACAGGCCAGTACAGAGGGGACTGAGCTGAAGGTGCTGGTCCTGCAGGGTCCACCCAGGACCCCTCCCTGGGTGAGGGCCCTGTGCAGGTTGTCTGGACACCGGTTTGCAGATCCCAAGCCCACGCCTTCCCGGGGAGGTGGCAGGGTGTGCGTGCGGCCTGGACTCAGCCCACCGGCTTGACCTTGGCGATGAAGAGGGCGGCAGCCTTCTCCAGGAACTCCTCTCGGGACATGGGTGCGCTGGGCCGCCGTCCAGCCGCCGCCCTGTCCAGGGCACGTGCCAGATTGTCGGGGCCCAAGCGGGAACCAGCCTCTAGGTAGTGTGTAGGCGCCGCCGCCAGGTCTCCCGTGCCCAGCGCGCCCTCCAGCGTGTCCAGCACGGCCTGGCCCACACGCCGATCGGCCACCGCCAGGCCCGGGTCCTCCAGCAGCTGGAAGAGGGCGCCGGCGCGCGCCACAAACTCCAGCAGCACAAAGCATGACAGCATGCCGGCCCGGAAGATGCCCAGCGGCACAGCCTCGTGGTCCCGGCACTGGATCTTGCGCAGGAGCGGTGCCACCACCTCCTCGGGGGCCCCGCCGTCCCTGCACACGCGCTTCAGCAGCTCGCTGTACGTGCGCCCGTCCAGCCCAGGCTTCTTTTTGCGGCCGCTGGCGCTCAGACACTCGTAGGCCACGCTCACGTTGTTGTTGAAGGCGGTCCTGCGGGGACAGTGCGGTGTCAGGAGGCCCCCATCCTGGCCGGCCACCCGGAGCCTTTCCAGACCTTCCCAGCACCCCAGCAATCCAGCTCCTCATTTGTCTGTCCCTCCCTCCAGGGCACCAGGCATGGAGGAACCCCAAGTGTTTGCTTTCTTAAGATTTATTTACAGGGCTGCAGAGATGGTTCGGTCAGTAGGCCTGCATTTGCAGAGGACGGAGCTGATTCCCAGCACCACATGGCAGCTCACAACTATTTGTAGCTCAAGGCCTAGGGGATCTGACGCCCTCTTCTGGCCTCCAAGGCACCAGGCATGCACATGATGCACAGACATACATGCAGGCAAAACACCCACACATATAAAATCAAATTTAAAAGAATATTTAAGATGAAAGTGGTAGAGCAGGGCCTGGAGAGATGACTCAGAGGTTAAGAGCACTGACTGCTCCTCCAGAGGACCCAGGTTCAATTCCCAGCACCCACTCGGCGGCTCACAACTGTCTGTAACTCCAGTTCCAGGGGACTGGACACCCATTGCAAAACACCAATGCACATAAAATAAAAATAAAATAAATTTAAAAAAGGAAGTGGTAGAGCAATCTTTTAATCCCAGCACTCAGGGGGCAGAGGCAGGAGGATCTCTGTGAGTTTGAGGCCACAGTGAGACCTTGTCACAAAACCAATTCATTATTAGTTGTAACCATACACGTACATAAATATGTGTCTGTATGTGTGGGTGGTCAGAGGGCAATCCTTTAGAGTTGGGTCGCTTCTGTTTCCACATGGCTTCCAGAAACTGAATGAATTCAAGTTGTCAAAATTCTGCAAGCACCTTTACTGGATGAGCCATCTGGGTTTGTTTGAGACAGAGTCTCATGCAGTCTGATCCTCCTGCCTCCACGTCCTGAGTGCACCATGTCCGCTTTATGTGGTGCTGGGGCTGGAACCAGTGGCTTGCACATGCTAAGTGAGGGTTCTGCCAACCGGCCCATCCCGGCACACAGTATGCACCGCACCTGGTAAGTGCCATTCAACCCACCAGCAGACATGTTGGGGCGTCTACCATTCACTACGCCCCCAGCACATGGCTGCAGGGGAGGGCACGCCAGTCCTCACTGCCACCATGCACACACCTGAGCCGTCTGTGACGTCTTCGTGCAGCTGTCCGGTGACAAGCCAGCTGTGACAAGCCAGCTGTTTATTTCGAAGCAAGGTCTCTCAGTAGCTGAGCCTTGAGCCCTCAATCTCCCTGCATCTCCACCATGTCGTGTAATTAAAGTTTTATTGAGACACAAAGTGGCCAGTTCTGACATGAACCTGTGGCTAGGTCACATTCTCAACTGACAGCTAGTGAGCAGAGAGGGCATGCTGAGTCAGGCGGATCCTTCCCTGACTCCAGGGTGTGGTCCCTCCTTGTGGACCACAGTGGTGATCATGAACACAGCCTTGTGAGAAATCGAGGCTCTGAGTAGGCCGATAGTCTCACTGCAGGACTTACCCAGAGAGTAACTGCCTGACAGTGGACCTTACTCTGGTCCTTGTGTGGCTCAGCTTCACAATGAGGGTGGTCTGCTCCATCCTGACCTCCTGGGGGCTTCTTAGATGCTTCATCTTCTAGAGACCTTCACGAAGTAGGTGCTTAATAAATCCTAGCTAGCTGCAGACGCCCAGAGAACAGACCGTGTGTCTTTTGTGAAGGTCATTTAGCAGGGCCCAGCTGTGTTAAGAGCCACGGAGGCTCTGGGACTGTTTGTTATAGCAGCACAACATAGCTCTTCCTGACTGATACTCCGGTTGACCTATAGCCACTAGCTCTCTTGTCCTGATCCTGCCTTCTCTGGCAGTGACCTCCAGGGGTAAAAGGCCTGGGTGGGCCCTTGCTCTGTTCCTGGACCAGGTCCAGACCTGTCTCCCAGGGTCACTGGCTTTCTGACGCTGCTGCCTCTGTGAGCCTTGTTCTGCTTACCCAAGGAATGCAAACCCCAGTTCTGCAACTCCAGATTCTTGGGAGGATGGACATGATCTCGTGCTGGCATGGGGAGGGCTCCAGCCACCTTGCCCTTGGCTGTTTACAGCCACAGGTCAGGTAATTACGGCCTGGTACAAGGACACCCACCTCTCGGATGGCTCACATCCTCTCCTGGGGATCCCCACTGAGTCACTCAGAGGTGAGGGGAGCACAGACAAGGGGGTGAGCTCCAGAGCTTGGAGAGCATGGGCTGCGGCTCCACTTTGCAGTTCTCTCTGCTGAGTGCTCACACTGCGCAGGCAGCGGGGGCCTCCCTCCTCCTGCCAGTGGCTTTCTCTGAGGTGGGGCTGGATGATGTATGGGGGGGCACATACCCCTGTTCCAGCTCTCCTCTACACTCGGAGAGCTCCTGGCTCTTGGGCACCCTGCAGGGTCTGGGGTGCCTCGTGGAGAGCGGCTGTGCCTGAAGGGAGGCGCGTGCTGGATTGTCCTCAGTGCGACCAGTTAGTGACTCAGTTAGTTTAGATCATTGCGTTGTACTTGATCATAGAAATGACTCCCTAACAGCTTAGGGACAGTATGGGCAGTGCCCCTCCCCCTGCCCCTATCAGCAGCACAGTAGCCAGGAAGGCGTGCAGGGTTTTGTCGCATGGGTCTGACTCCTGGCTTCCCCTGTTGTGGCCAAGGCTTCAGGCATCTGGGGTGAAGAGTGATCTTAAGTGGTGCTCACAGGCTGCTGGGGAGGTGACCGATGGGGACACTAGGCTCTATAGAGCCTGGAGGGACTTGAGAAGCGTGGCCCCTCAGCTCCAGAGAAGTGGCTCTGCTGGCAGGCGTCAGTGGCTGCCACGTGTGGAGGCGCAGGCCGAGCACTGCACAAGGACCCACTCTTCCCAGACATCCATCACGGGGTCTGAAGTGGGGAGCAGTGACTGGGGGAGGAAGAGAGACCTAGCTCTGTGACATCAGACACAGACACGCTGTGGCTTCTGGGTCCACCCTTGGCTGCATCTCTGGGGACCCCACCTGCCTGCTGGCTCCTTTCCATGTCCCCTGCTATCCTGAGCTGCCGAGTTAGTGGTATAACACTAGGTCCTGGGGTGAGCAGTGACCCCCAAGTTCACATCCACAAACCTCAGAATGTGGTAAACACACAGCTTTCATGGTTTCAGCCACTTAAGATGAGACCATGTCAGAGGATGCCAGGCACGGACCCAGCGGCTGGCAGGGCACAGAGGCCTGATGACATGGTCACAAACCCTGCCCCAGATCCTCAGGTGGGCTGTGACTTCAACTCACAATGTTCCTGTTTTAAATCACTAAGTTGACTGCTTTTCACCCTTGTGTTGGAGCCCACTAGGTTTCCTAGTGGCTGTACCCTGCAGGACTGCATGGGAGGTTGACTGGACCCCGGGCCTGGGCACCAGGTGACTGTAACTAGCAGGGGGAGGTCTTCTGCTCCACCCCTTGGCATTGCTATAAATAGACCTTTGGGCTGGTGGCTAAGGATCCAGGCCCACCCGAGTCTATCCTGTGTTCTCTCTCCCCTCTATTTCTAACTAAGTCTCTTATTCCTCATTCCTCCAGAGTCTCTGGGGTAAATAATGGTGGGGGCTGGTCCCCCACAGCCCTGGGAGACTCTCTTCTAGACAGATGCCCCAGGAGGCAGTTTGTTCCTGGCCCCTCCTTCCCTGGGTACCTCAGGGTGCAGGCCTGTGCGCTTGTTCCTTTGCTGGAGTTGTGGAATATTACTTTAACTATGTCAAGATGTGTCACATTTGTTTCTGCTGTGGAACATTGATTTGACTAGGCAAATATGTGTTACATTTGTTTCTGCTGTATTTGTTTAACGATGTAAAGATGTGTTGCTGTTTTACCTTGCCTGCCTAAGACACCTGATTGGTCTAATAAAAAGCTGAACGGCCAATAGCTCGGCAGAGGAGGGATACGTGGGGCTGGCGGGCAGAGAGAATAAGTAGGAGGAAGAATCTAGGAATGAGAGAGAGAACGTGAGGGCGATGCCTGGAGCCAGACGCCAGGCAGCAGCCAGCCAGACAGGAGGAAACAGGAAAAGATAGACAGAATGAAAGAAAGGTAAAAAGCCCGAGGCAAAATGCAGATTAGCTAGCAAGAAACGAGCCTAAGTTAAGGTCGAGCGTTCATAACTAATACTAAGTCTCCGTGTCATGATTTGGGAGCTTGTTGGTGGTCCAAAAGAAAGACTGCCACACAGATGCCTTCAGTCTCCCCACTCACACCCCAGTGCCGTCTCAGCTGTACACTCTGTCCACCTTCTTGCTCGAGCTCCTCACCAAGTGATCCACTTCCAGAACCACTGATCTCCCAGCCTTTGTGCCTGTCCGACCGACCGTCCCCGCCCCCATCAGCCCGTCCTGCTCCACGCTTCCCTTCCTGGCCATCGTCTGGGGATCCCGAGCCCTCTGCCTCTGGTGCAGAGGTGTTTGCTTGGCTCAGATCCACCCTGCTCTGCCCAACTTGTTCCAGCTTCTCTGGGACTCCAGGAGAGAACCAGCAGGAAGGCTCCCTGGACTTTCACTCCCTTGGGGAAAGCTGGGATCACTGCTGCCCAACACCTTCTGAGTCCTCCTCCACGCACCCTTTGTAAAGCCACTTCCGTGCTGAGGCCCCAGACACCAGCTCACCCACTTTCTCACTCGCTGGTTGATGACACCTACTGATCAACTTCCCCCATCCACTGAAGTGCCCCTCACTCATCTTCTCCACTGGAACTATTCCCACTGGGGCACAGAGCAACTGCCTAGCTCCAGGCCTCTCTGCACGGTTCACACCTGGCTCTAGACCAGCCTGTGCTCTGCGGGTGCATCTCAGGACCATACTGCGGGGTGGGGCCTCAGTACACAGGCTGCCCATCTCCGGGACAAGCACCGCAGCTATTTTATGCTCTGACTGCAGGGATGGCTTCTTGAACCAGGTCCTCGCTGGGCTTCTTGACCTCCAAAGCCCTGGGCTGCGAGGAGAAACTGGGCACAAGCCCAAAAGCAAAAACCCACTAGGCCATAATCATCTGGAAGCTCCAGCAAAGATGGACTACAACTCCCAATACTTCCTACCAGGACCACAATTCCCAGTACAGTCCGCGATCACAGCGGCCGAAATCTACGCGAAGCATGCCGGGAGCTGTATTCCGGCCGCTATACCGCCCTAAACGGACCAGGTCCGGGAAAAGAGGACAGACTACTACTCCCGGATACGCCCCGCGCCGGCGGCGGGTGGAGCCCGCGCGGGGCCTGTCGGGAGGTGTAGTCCAGGCACCCCGCCCGCCATCGGTCCGCACCTCTGCGAGTGGTGAGCCAGGCGAAGGTGCCACAGCGCGCGGCCCAGGCGCTGCTGCTGCAGGAGGAGCTGGCCTGGGGGCTCCCCGGCGCCGCCGTTGGCTGGCGAGCGCAGGCCCATGTTCTCGAAGTAGTGCGCCAAGAAGGCGATGGGCTCCTCGGGCCGCGTCTCCAGCACCTTCAGTAGGGCCGCGCGCAGCATCTCTGTCACGCCGACCTGCCGCAGGAAATCCTCCTCGCTCTCAGCCGCCGCCGCCGCCTGAGACGCCGACGACCGGCCGCTGTCCGCGAAATTGGCCGCTGGCGCTACTGCCGGCCGCCGCTTCTCCACTGCCGCCATCTTTGCTGAGGGCAGAGGGGCCGGAAGTGCTGCCATAATTCACGGCGCGACAAAGCAGCCTCCTTGGGCGGCCATTTCTGTTAAGGGCAGAGGAGCGGCTTCCTCTCTGACAGCGTCTCGGCAGTGACAGGCACAGGCGACCTATCCCCCCTGTGCCCTAACTGGTATTCTCCGTTTACGTCTCTGCTGGTACTCCATGACTGCATCTCTCAACTTCGGTCCGGAATCATGAGCTTGCCAGACTTCAAAATGGTCCCCCAGGAAGGGCTTGGTTTCTGGCTTGAAGCGCGATTGCTTGCCATCTTGGTAGCGGGCAAGTCTTCGTAAGCGTGGTCTCCTAGCAACCAGGCTCCTTGGGTACCAGAGAAACCCCCTCAAACGTGCGTGGGGGTTCGTCCGCCGAGAATCTAGGACTGAGAGCGGGATTCCCATCCTTTCCTGCGTTGAGTCTCAGGTGGTGCACTCGGCTTGGGCTCTGCCGGGATTTTGGCTTCACTTCGTCTCCTGAAAGGATTAGCTCGCCTCGAGCGAGTCCCCACGATTCCCCTTCCTGACCACTAGGGGTTGCTCTTGCCGTAACTGTGTGGTGGCTCTCCAGGACCCTTGCACGTCTGTCCTCTGTCCCTTACCTCCATCCCCTTGCCCCCCTCACACCCCATCTCGGTGTTTGCCCCAGCTACGCCCCCCAAGTCCTTTTTTTCCGGGCCATTGGGAACCTCCTTAGTTACTCTTAGGAAGCGCAGGCGTTTCCCAGCCTAGCATCCTGCTCGGGCCTACCAAGATAGACTGGGATGTGTGCCTGTCTCCAGGGCCCCCGGGGTAGGACTGAGAGATGCGCAAAGCTTCTCTATTTTACAGCACGACAGGACACACCAGTGGCCAGATAAGGGGCCTTTATTCTGCGCTGGGCGAGCAGCTGGAAGGAACCTGTGGATGTGCTGACCACCAAGGAAAGGGGCCACACTCTAACATCTTGACTGCCCCGAACCCAGCTTCACAGGAGTGTGCATGAGCTGGTGTCTGGGGGAACACTCGGCCCGTAGCGTTTCCACAGGCGGTAGGCAAGGAAGGCCAGCGCCAGCAGCCCCAGCGCCAAGCTGCCAATCCATAGGGTGATGTCGGAGGCTGAAAGAGAAGAAAAGAGGAAGGGCATCATCAGCCCCGGTGCCTGCAGGCCCCGCTGAGGGCACTGTACATAGGCCCTATGGTTTAAAAGTGGACTCCCCAACTAATTAATGTGTTTTAAAATGGAACCACTGAAACAGGGGTAGTGGTGCACACCTGTTATCCCAGCACGTACGGGGCTGAGGCAAGAGGATCAGCTACACACCAAGTTTGAGGCCAGCCTCAGCCACGTGAAGCCAACATTAAAAAACTTTTTTTTTTTTTTAAACTCATATCTGGTCATCTCTCTTTACCGTCTGTTTCACAGAATCTCTGTGTCTGCAAGGTGCTTGAAAGTCTAAGTTCTTTCACAGCCAGGAAAGCATACTGAACTGAGGCATGGCACAGAAACCCAACTAGGTTTTTTTTTTTTTTTTTTTAAAAAACAGGGTTTCTCTGTGTAGCCTTTGCTGTCCTGGAACTCACTCTGTAGACCAGGCTGGCCTCGAACTCAAAGAGATCCGCCTGCCTCTGCCTCCCAAGTGCTGGGATTAAAGGTGTGCACCACCACCGCCCGGCCCCAACTATCATTTTAATCCCATATGTCCGTCCCTCCCGGGGCCCCAGCACTCACAGGGTTTTGGGAACACCTGACTGGAGACATACAGACTGACTGCCTGCCCCCCGGGGTCCAGGCGGCACTGGAACCAGCCCTCAGGAATGGGACCTGGGGGAGGCACGCTTAGCCACGCCTGAGCCCCGGCCTCCCTCTTGTGGTAGGCTGACAGGTTGCCAGGAGCCAGGATCCAGCGCACAGTCACTCCAGGCCCACAGGATGCTTCACAGAGTAGCTGCCAGACTGCCTCCTGGTCCTGGTGGATCTCGGGATAGCAAGTTCCAGCGGAGCTCAGAGTCCTAGGGCTAAGTGTGGAATGAGGAGGGGTAGACGGCAGGGTTGTGCTGTTGGGGAGCCCAGTGGAGCTGGCCTCAGTAGTGTGTGATGAGGTCAGGATGTAGGGCTTGGCAGAGGTGGTGTTGGGGGGCTCTGGTGAGGTCCAGCTCTGTAGGACTGCAAACAGAATGTTCTTCTGTAGCCCCGGGCCTCTCTCCTGCCCCAGTTTCTTCATCTGCAGCCCGGTGTTAGGACAGAACCCCCTCCATCCCCGTCCCCCTCCCCCTTCCCCCTCCCCTCCCCCTCCTGTCACTCAAGTGACACAGGGCATCATAGTGGCTGGGCCAGGAGATGGAGACACAGACAGAACTTCCTGGATCCTGTATGAGTCTACTAGACCACTGCTTATTTATTTCTTTATTATGTATGCAGTGTTCTGTCTGCACGTGTCCCTGTTGGCCAGAAGAGGGCACTAGATCTCATTACAGGTGGTTGTGAGCCACCATGTGGTTGCTGGGAATTGAACTCAGGACCTTTGGAAGAGCAGCCAGTGCTCTTAACCTCTGAGCCATCGCTCCAGCCCCCGCTTATTTATTTATTTTGGTTTTCGGAGACAGGGTTTCTCTGTGTAGTCCAGGCTGTCCTGGAACTCGCTCTGTAGAACAGGCTGGCCTCAAACTCAGAGATCCACCTGCCTCTCTCTCCCAAGTGCTGGGATTAAAGGCTAGGCCACTGTTTATAAAGCACCTACAGTGTGCCAATCCTGTGAATCTGCTCAGCCAGCATTTGTAGAACTCCTGAGTTCTGGGACCTGCATTGAGTCTACTTGGCAGTGTTTATCCAATACCTACTGAGTGTTGGTCCCCATCTAGTCTTTCAGGACAGACAGAAAATGATGGAGATATCATTTTGGAGTTGGCGCAGAGTAGGCCCTCATCTTTTGAATTAGTCTTTTTTCTGGCTGCCTCACAGGGCAGATACTGTGACCAGTTCTCTTGGGACTCTCCAGGCAGGGACACACAATCCTGGTTCAAGCTCCAGGGTAGCCAAGCCCAGAGGCGGTGGGCCCCGAGGACTTACCTGGAAGCCCCCTTTTGTGGGTCAGCACCAGGCTGGGCAGCTGCATGGTGACCTGGCAGTAGAGGGCAGGGGGGGCAGGGGTCTCCAGGGAGGGCAGCAACCAGCGCTGCGTCACTCGGAGCAGCGGCGTGCCCTCAGCCTCCTGCGTCTCCTCCTCTTGCTCTGGTTCCAGGGCCCGGGCCCCCTCCAGTCTCTGGTCTCCCAGTAGCAGGGTGAAGGAGAGAATGTCTAGGCCTGGGGGCCAGATGTTGTGGGCCGTGCAGGACACCTCTTGGTCCTGTCCTGACCAAGACACCGCCAGCTGGTCTGGGAAGGCTGCGGATGGAAGATGGGGCCCAGGGCTGAGCCAGGCGGAGGAGGTAGGTTTGGTTGGGGTGATGATGCAGCTATGTGCCTTAGGTGTCTGGGACAGGAAGGGCGGATGTGTCAGCCTTGTGGGTCTGGGGTGCGGGGACCTGGTGGGTGATGGCATTGGTGTGGTGCAAGGTCCTGATACCCCTGGGTAGGTGGCACCTAGAAGGGCAGAGTGGGCCTCACCGTACACAATGATCTGCACAGAGTGCTGGAAGCTTCGGCCCCCACAGGAGCCCACACACAAACGTGTGCCAGCGTCTGTCAGCAGACCATGTATGGAGAGGATGCTGCTGCCTGGGAGGTTCTGCACATTGCCCAGGTGGGTGTCCAGGCCACGCCACTGCGCCTGGGCTACACCCTCGTCACAGGGCAGGCTGCAGTTGAGCCGGAGGGTTGTGTCTTTGGCCACAGCCACCACAGGATCAGGGGGATCCACATGGAGGGACTGGCCTGAGGGGAAACAACATTAAACTCATGTTGGGGCAACTGGGTCCCAGATTCCAGTCCTGACCCTGGACCCTGGGTTGAGACCCCAGGGCTCTAGACCTCTGCCCCAGGTCCCTGGCCTTGACTAGAGAGCAACCAGAGCCCCACATCCCCGGGCCAGCCTCTCAAAGCCCTGGGCTTTCATAGCACCCCCAAAGCTCTTTCCCTTGTGCCCACTCATCTCCCGAAGCCCCCTCCCCTCCCCACACCCCTGCTCACCACTGCCAAGCTGGAAGGGCGCCATGGCCAGGGCCAGCAGGAGGACCAGGCTGGACTCCATGTCGTCCCTCTGTCTTGTGACCGCCAAGGGAAGCGGTTTAAATAGCAGCGGCTGGTGGCTTCCCGCCGTCTTGAGACCCTGCCTCTCCTCCCCCTCCTCCCTATCCGTGGGAGTTTCCCTGGGGGCTTTCCCAGCCCGACCTCCACTCCGCAGGAGGCAGAGAGTCAGGGACCCGGGAACACGGGCGGAACAGACGCGCAGGGAAGGTCTGGGAAGGTTCCAGGCCCCAGTTCTATGGACGGGAAGGCTGAGGCTAGAGGCTGGGGTCACCATGGTGGGTCAAGTGCATGGAAATCAGCCAGTCCTAGACGGCTCCACCCCGGCCGACTCGAGCTCTGACTTCATTTCCAGAGGTGGCCACACGAGAGCGGCAGAGAGGCCAGACTCGGTTCTGGATGGTGGGGTCCCCTGCGGCCACGCCCGGAGTGGGGGTTTCTCCTGGGACTGAGCTCTGCCTGACGAGTCAGTTATCCCCAGTCTGTGTCCTTGCATCGCACGAGACCTTGCAGTTCCAACAGAGCCGGGGGCTGGAGCTGGCTCGCTTTTGACACGTCTGGGGTAGATCCTGGGCCTCAGCGCTGAGTTCTGAGGCGCTTTCTCACACACTCCGTTGAGTTCTCTCCCACTTTCCTCCAAGATGGGCACACCGTCCCTCCCATGTTTTGCTCTTGGCCCAGACCCTTATTGAGGGACACCCCTCTACATATCAACACCCCTGGGTTGTGCTGCACCCAGAGAAGAAAGGCTAGAGCCCTGTGTCCTTCCCGCCTCAGGCGGCCACAGGACCTTTGCACCACTGCTCTGCTCTCTCCAGTCTCCAAGACCCTCCCCCTCCTCTGCCTTCCTAAGGCCCCTGTGGAGGTCAAGTCTTCAGACACTTGAAGTCTGTCTCCACCAACATCGGGAGTGTGCTCGCCTTGGGTTTTGGCAACTTGACATAAGCAGAGCCGTTTGGGAAGAGAGAACTTCAGTTGGAAAAAATGCCCACCAGTTTGGTCTGTGGTCAAACCTACAGACTTTGGGGGTATTTTTTGTTTGTTTTGTTTTTCCAGACAGGGTTTCTCTGTGTAGCCCTGGCTGTCCTGGAACTCACTCTGTAGACCAGGCTGGCCTCAAACTCACAGAGATCCGCCTGCCTCTGCCTCCCGAGTGCTGGGATTAAAGGTGTATGTCACCACCACCCAGCTGAGTTATGCAGGTGTATTTTTGATCAATGATTGACATGGGAGGGCCCAGCCCACTGTGAGTGGTGCCATCCCTGGGCAGGTAGGTGGGCCTGGGTGCTATAAGAAAGCAGACTGAGCTGGGCTGTGGTGGTGCACGCCTTTAATCCCAGCACTTGGGAGGCAGAGCCAGGTGGATCTCTGTGAGTTCGAGGCCAGCCTGGGCTACAGAGCGAGTTCCAGGACAGGCACCAAAACTACACAGAGAAACCCTGTCTCAGAAAATGAAAAAACAAAACAAAAGAAAGCAGACTGGGCAAGCCATGGGGAACAAGCCAGTCAGCAGCTCCCCCCATGGCCTCTGCATCAGCTCCTGCCTCCAGGGCCCTGCCTTGGCTTCCCTTCGTGAAGGACAGTGATCTGAAATAAACACTTTCCTCCCTAAGTTGCCTTTGGTCACGGCAGTTTATCACAGCAACAGAAACCCTAACTATACAGGGTGAGACTCTGTCTGCTCCTGCCATGACCCCTGACCCCTGCCCAGCCTGCAGACTGTCAGGATCTTCTCAGAAGTAGAAACTGAGGCACCCACGGCAGGGTGTGTGACAGGTGGAGGCTGGTATCCCAGTGGGGAAACCGAGGCACAGAGAGAGTAGAAGACACCAGACTCAGGTGTGTGAACTCAGAACTGTGGCTGCCTGGGTCCCATCCCCCCGCCCCCCTCACCCAGCATGCGCCAGTGCCCGGAAGCTGTGCAGGAAGGTGACTCCAAGACGCGCGGGCCCTTCCCCGGAAGCTGGGCCCTTAACCCGGGTGGGGGGCAGCGGGCTGGTGAATGGGCTGCTTCCCAGCCCCTGACCCGGCTTCCTGCTCTACCACGGCCAGGTGGGGAGGGGTCAGCAGGCGCCTGGCAGGCTGAGGTGCTGTGGGCTGCAGGCGTGGTCCCTGCTTTCCTTGAAGATCTCAAAGGACACTCTTCTCAGCTCTGGCTCCACCTGCAAGACAGTGGAGCATCCTGTTCGTGGTGGGGAGAGCGAGCAGGAGCCAGAGCCACAGTGTAGAGGGGACAGCTGTGGGCGGGGGGGGGGGGGGGGGGGGAGTGGGGAGACTAGGGAAAAACGAGGGGCGGGGTGGGGGGGGGAGCGGGGAGAGGGACAGAGATGTGACACACAGAGAGACAGAGGACAGAGAGACAAAGAGAGAGAGGGACAGAGAGAGAGACAGACAGTTCAGAAAACTAAGAAACAGACACAGAGGGAGGTGCAGAGGCACACAGACAGACACAGAGACACAGTGAGGGCACAGGGGCCTGGAGCGCTGGTGGCCCAGGGGCCGTCTGTCCCCACTGGGGCCAAGGGCCAGCAGGACTCTGTTGTGCTCTCCGTGGCCCTTGGGCACCTCCTGTCCTCCTTCCCTGCAAGTCCAGGGCCCGACCCCCCTTCCCGCCATTGTCCTACAAGGAGGAAGTCCTCCTGACGTCACAGGAAGCCCCCCTCTCCACAGAGGTCCAGCCTTCTCAGGAGACCTGACATCCTGGCTCCCCTGCCTACAGCGCGAGGAAGGTTCCAGAAGGTAGCCTTGCTCCAACCCTGGCCCTTCCGCTCGCCCTCACTCAATCATCAATCTTACATGCTCACCGTTCCTGGCTCCTTCAGAGTGTGGTTCCCAGAGGCCAGGGTGGCAAGAGACTGGCTGGGAGACTGGCTGGAGTCCCTGGCCCGGGGTGCTCTGGCCCGGGGTGCTCTGGCCCTGTGGAGCATGAAGAGGTGGGGGCCAGCTGGAAGCTGGACTTTGAGAGGACAGTGTCAGGGCCTGGAGAGATGGCTCAGTGGTTAGGAGCATGTACTCCTCTTCAGAGGACCTGAGTCCTAAGCACACAGGTCAGGTAGCTCTGTAAATTTAGTTCCAGGGAGATCCAACGTTCTCTTCTAGCCTCTGAGGTCACTCAGACTTACATGCACCCCCCCCACACACCCCTACCCCCATACACATAGATACAGGGCTGTCAGGGCAGTGGTGGCGCACGCCTTTAATCCCAGCACTCGGGAAGCAGAGGCAGGGGGATCTCTTGAGTTCAAGGCCAGCCTGGGCTACAGAGTGAGTTCCTGGACAGCCAGGACTATGTAGGGAGGCCAAAATTAGATAAATATTAAGCAAACAGACAAAAACAAACAAACAAACAAACAGAAAGGAGGGTGGGTGGAGAGATGGCTCATCGGGTAAGAGCACTGGCTGTTCTCCCAGAGGACCCTGGTTCTGTTGTTGTGCCCACATCGCAAGACCCGCGAGCAAGACCACCACAGAACCAATAGCCGACGTAAAACACACAGGGATTTATTGATAACAAGCAAGCCCGGGCTTGATCCTCGTCCAACACACTGGCTAGCCAGGTGAAGGAGGACGGCCCTGAGCCCTCAGAGTGAGGGGTTTTTAAAGGGAAAAACCGCAAACAGGGCGGTACAAGCCTTGGCATCATATGATTGAGTGAGGGTGTGTAACCTTTGAATTTACTGGTTGGGGGTTACAGTTATTTTGGGGCAGGCCTGGACAAGTCCCAGGCTCTGTCCTTGAGCTGCCATGGGGGCTGGCTGGCCTCACACGTTGGTGAAGGGTCCCAGACAGTAAACAACTGGCTGAATCTTGAGCAGTCAGAGTACGTGCAGAAAGGGAGCTACTGCAAGGACTATGTCATAGCCCTCCCAGAAACTGCTTGCCTAAGTCTCAGGAAACTGAAATTGAGGCCTGATCTCTGAGAGAAGACTGAGCAGCCTGTTATGGCGTCTGCTTGGTCCTTTCATTCCCCCTTTGAGTGGTGTATCGCCTCCAACCATGGAGACGTTTCTTTTTGGTAAAAGACTTTATCACCAGGGTATTAGATAATTTTGGAGACTAATTGGACCAGGACATAAGAGGTTTCCCATCATCAATGGCAAAGTGGGCTTCCCTTACTCGGTTGTTGCCATCTGCAAGTGTGTCATGGGTTCAGGGGCTGATATTGGGATTCTAGCATCCTCAGTTTAGTGGTACCCAGACAGGAGTCATCATTCAGTTAAGACATCAGTGACATAAGAGCCAACAGTAATTAGCAGAAGCACAAGGGCCAAAATCCCTGTGATTGTTGATAGAGTTCCTTATCCTCAAGGAACTTGGAAATGAGAATGGGGACCAGTTATTACTTTATCTCAGGTCCCCTATGACAAGAAATTCCATTTTGATCTAACATGGGGGTGAGGGGCGACGGACAAGGGCGATGTTTTCTCTTCTGTAATTACTTCCTGCTGACCTTGGGACATTGTTGTCAGGGCCCTGGGAAGCCAGAATGTTAGCATTTTATTGACCAGCTGAAGAGATAGCATGAACTGGTCCATATCAGCTTTCAGCAAGTTCAGGGCTTGTCAGCAAATGATGCTTGGATGTGTCTGTCAGCCAAGTGGAAACCTGTTGAGAAAGATATAAACTAGGAACAGGAGTTAAAATTTATGAACTTCAGACCCATAGTCTCGGTAATTGTAGTATTATCAATTTGCCCTGAAATCCAAATCCATACCGTCTTTTCTATCTAGAGAGCCAGGTATAGATTGGACTGAAATGTTTTTGGCCTGATGAGAAGCATCTATAAGTCTATATTTAGACCCAGTTTCTCTCTCTCTCTCTCTCTCTCTCTCTCTCTCTCTCTCTCTCTCTGAGACTTAGTAGCTTTTAATTAATTAATGCATTAATGAATTAATTAATGAAGTGGCTGCAACCTTGTGGAAGGTTGTCTGATGTTGCTAAGCTGACCAAGTTATAGCTAGCCCAGTCATCAATGCCATCAGAGATCCGAGAAGGATAAATTTTACCTGAGTGCAGATTTCCAAGTCTATTAAAAAACAACAGACTATCCATTATCCAGACTGCCATCACCCCAGGCTCCTGTAGACTTCACAGTGTTGGCAGGACAGGTATCAGGACAGCATCAGTCTTGGCTGCTGGGCCCATAACATGGAAGTTCTCCTGTGGAGGAGCGACTTGGGAAAGACTGATCTTATCTTGTCAGTGTCTCATTTGTCCATTCTGGGCCAGATCCCTGGCAGCAGGTGTTGAGTCGGGGCATCTTGCCCAGTGGTTGGTGTCGTCCGCAATTCAGGTGGTGTCTTCTTGTTGTTGTTCCATATCTTCTTTGGAGACTTTGGGAGTCATTGCTAGGAGCTGGGAGTCTCTGTTCGCTATAGTAAGCTTTTTATCAAATAATTTAAATGTCATATGCATCAGATCTTTGACAGGTTTGAGAACCATTGTCTATTAAATGCATCTGAGCCAGACAAATCTAGGCCTAATCTTGAAAACATCTCTAAGTTTGGTAACAACAACCAGGCCAATTTGTTATCTTGTAGATATATTAGTCCAATGCACCTCTCAGATTCTGTTTTTTCTTCTTATTTAAATAGCTTATAATTAAATAAGCATTAACAGTTTATGCTTTAAACTAGCATCTGGATAGCCAGATGACCAGTATTAACCTGTGTTCCCTAACACAGAGGACACGCAAACTCAGACACTCAAAACCAAACACGCATGTGGCCACATTTTTATTCACACCTACAGAGTAGACAGACATTCTTACAACTATGATCCTTTGGAGTCTCAATGTAAGAGAAAGAAGTCTGGAACATGCTTCAATTTTTATATATCTCAAATCATTTTCTTTTATCACTACTTAAGCCTTTTAATCCTCAGATCTTCATAACCTGCTTTTACACATCCCAATAACCTGCATTTCACATGTCTTCAGTTACTTTCCTTCTTCCCAAAACATTCTTTTAATATTCCCATACCTAAAACCTTTACATCTTAGACCCCACATAAACTTTACTTATATTCAAACCTTACAACTTACTTAAAGTTTCATATTTTTATACCTCAAACTACTTCCTCAGACCCAAAATATCACATACTCAAGCCCTCATGACATGCTTAAGACTTTAAATTTTTACATCGTAAACTGTTTCTGGGGCTGGGGAGATGTCTCAGCGGTTAAGAGTACTGATTGTTCTTCGAGAGGACCCGGGTTCAATTCCCAGCACCCACATGGCAGCTCACATCTATCTGTAACTCCAGTCCTAGGGCACTACAACACCAATGTACATAAAATAAATATGTTATTAAAAAAAAGGCAACCCCCCAACACCCCGCAAAAAATGGGGCTGGAGAGATGGCTCAGCAGTTAAGAGCACTGACTGTTCTTCCAGAGGTCCTGAGTTCAATTCCCAGCACCCATATGGTGGCTCACGACCATCTGTATGAGATCTGGTGCCCTCTTCTGGCCTGCAGGCATACACGCAGGCAGAACACTGTATACACAATAAGTAAATCTCAAAACAAAAAACAAAAAACAAACAAACAAACAAAAAACCTGTTTCCTCAAACCAAAAAATCATTTATTCAAACTTTCATCCTCACAGCTCAGGCCTTCATATTCTTATAAAAACATTACATCCTGCTGGGCGGTGGTGGCGCACGCCTTTAATCCCAGCACTTGGGAGGCAGAGCCAGGTGGATCTCTGTGAGTTCAAGGCCAGCCTGGTCTCCAAAGCGAGTTCCAGGAAAGGCGCAAAGCTACACAGAGAAACCCTGTCTCAAAAAACCAAAAACAAAACAAAACAAAGCATTACATCCTAAAACATCTTTTTTTTTTTCTATTTAATTCATTGAGCTATCTTCTCCTTGGAATTTGATACAGTTTTTTTTTCCTCCTTATCTTAACCAACAATAATTTGTAACCAATTTTCTTAAATGATGGCAAGTATTTGTAACCCATTGAACTCAAATATATCCATGTGTCTTTGACTTGTAATTCAACATTTCTTTTTCAAGCAATATCAGGACGGAGAAGCGTTAACAAGGACAGCTGCTGGCCGGCAGAAGAGACCTTGAAGTTATCACAGTGAAGAGCTTGGCTTAGGTAGGAAGGGAGGGGGTGCGGTGGGCATAGAGTGTGTCCTCTGAGTAAAGTCAGATTCTCTGTTCAGTGTTCACACAGTTTTTGTCTGTTGCAGTCAGTCAGTTCCCCATCGCCCTGCCCATGGCTCCCGTCACTGCCCGCCTGCACTGAGAGCGCGCACCCCCACCCTCTGCGAGAGCAGCTGGCTGGCTGCAGGCCCGGTAGCAAGAGAGCAGCGGAGGGAGGGGGGTGGCCCTTGCTGTGCCTCTCTCTCCTCCTCTTCCAGGGAAAGAAGGGAAAGTAGACAGAAATGTTTACACGGACAGCCCAAGTACCGGCACATCAGCTCTGAGATCTCTGGGAGAAGACTGACAGCCTGTTATGGCGTCTGCCTGGTCCTTTCACTGTGACTCCAGTTCCAGGGGATCTGACACCCTCACACAGACATACGTGCAAGCAAAATACCAATGCACATTAAAATTGAAAGGGATAATACAAAAGAATAAAATAACAAAACCTTTAAAAACAACAAGCACATTCTAGTGCGTTTTTGAGACACACAGACAGACACTCCCTCCTGGACGGACCACCCATGGAGGTAGGACTAGACCTGGTTACCCACCGTGCATGGTGGGACACCTGACTCCAATCCACATGGACCTCGTGTCCCTGAAATCACCTGTCTGAGCTGTGCTGGGCCTGGAGGGAGGCGCCAACAGATCGTAAGCAATGCTGTCAGAAAAGTGTGCTCTGGCTGCCTTTGTCATTTGCAGAATGAGGTGGGGGTGGGGGAAGCTGTCACAGGACCTGCCAGCCTGAGGGACTTCATGCTGCCTGCTGCCTTCCATCTGGAGGGGCGGGAGGAGGTGCGCCAGCCTGGCCCTGGATTGCCTGAACTTGGAGATGTCAGGAGTCACAGAGGCCAGGGAAGCCAAATTCTGGCTCTGAGGACTCCTGCTGGGGTGGGTCTGGCCAGCTGAGTGCATCACAGGTTCCTGGGCAGGCTGATAGTGACATCTGCTGGCCTGGGATGGGCGGGATGGCTGCAGTTCCTCCGCAGATACGAAACCACCCCTCAGTCCTCACCCCAGACTGCTTATCCCTTCATCAGCTGTCTGTCCCGGGAGTTAGTGAAGGGTTGTCTCAGGGAATATTGGTCTGGGGAGCCCCACAACAGCCTGATATCCAAGACCAAAGCTATCCCCTGCAAGGTTGCTGGGGACAGTGACCTCTGAGGACAAACCTGGACGGAGAGGCTGGGAGCCTAAGGGACTCTCTGGAGACCCCTCATACCTGTTAGAGGACCAGAGTGCCATGATGCTGTGATAACTGTTTGGTGGGTGCTGGCTTTGCCCAGGAATGGGCCCAGGCAGGCCTGGGTAGGGGGTCGCAAGTGGACTGGGGGCCCCTGAGCAGGACCTGACAGGGCCTGGCTTTCAGAACCACCCACCATTTGACTGAACAACCTGAAGCCCTGATCTCAGGTCTCTATGGACTGTTTCATGCCCAGGGACGCCATGCTGGCCCTCACACTCCAATAGTGGCCCTGACTGGGCCAGTATTCTGGGGACCTCTCAGAACTCATGTGGTTGATGGTTGGACACAGGAATGAGAAGGGTTACCAGGACCTAGTGGCACAAAGCAGGTGCCATCAGGCATTTAACCCTGATGCTAACCTAGCCGCCGCCGCCTCCTCCTCCTCCTTCTCCTCCTCCTTCTCCTCCTCCTCCTTCTCCTCCTCCTCCTCCTCCTCCCCCTCCCCCTCCTCCTCCTCTTTCTTGTTCTTCTTTGGTTTTCAGACAGGGTTTCTCTGTAGCCCTGGCTGTCCTGGATCTCGTTCTGTAGACTAGGCTGGCCTCGAACTCACAGAGATCCGCCTGGCTCTGCCTCCCGAGTGCTGGGATTAATGGCGTGCGCCACCGCCTTAACCCCAACCCCAACCCTATCCTCACTTCAACCCCAAACCCACCCTAACTCCACTCCAACCTATGCCTTACAGAGGAGTAGAGTCTGGTTTCCAGCCTGTAACAGTTCCTGGCCCTCCCTCCACACCCTACCCACCAGCACCGGGCCTTTCCTCAGCCTTTGACCTACGGACTCCACGCCCCACCCATCAGAGATCAGCTTTCTCTAGCCCTCCCTCACCGCCACCGAGGACACACCGATGAGCTCAGCAACACCTTCCTCCCACCTCTCCACACTTGGCCCCACCCACACAAACTTAGCCTTTCCCTGTGGTCTCAGCCAAGTCCTCAGTTCTCTGGAGTCCCGGGCCACCACCGTGACTGAACTCCATTTCCCATCATGCTTCGGGCCGAGGATGTGGCCCATAAAACTATGGAAGCCAGGCACCTGGGCGCTCAGTCCTCAGCACTCTCAACCAAGGATGCAAGGGCTGCAGGGGCCTTTGGAGCTGAGGGAACTTCGATTCTCATTTACTTGTCAATCACAAGTCTCACTTAGGGAGCTTTGGCCAGTGCCAGGGTGCAGGCACTGGAGACCAAAGACGCACTCACGGTCTCCCTGTGGCAGGGATGTGTTACCTGCTCAGGAGTTGGCACTGTTAGCTGGGACCATGTTGCTAGGCTGGGATCCTGTTGCTAGGGGCCGGGATGATGTTGCTAGGCTGGGATCCTGTTGTTAGGGGCTGAGACAGTGTTGCTAGGCTGGGATCCTGTTGCTAGGGGCTGGGATGATGTTGCTAGGCTGGGATCAAGTTGCTAGGGGCTGAGACAGTGTTGCTAGGCTGGGATCCTGTTGCTAGGGGCTGGGACTGTGTTGCCAAGGGTGGAGAACTGCGCTAAGCCTGAGGTTCTGTTGTTAGGGGCTGGCTGAATGTTGATAGGTCTGGGGTCCTGTTTCTAGGGAGATGGGTTCAATTTCCTTGTGTCTGGGTTCTGTTACCAAAGTTACCAACCTATTATTAGGGGGCTGAGATTATGATGACAAGGTTGCTAAGCAGCAGGCCTTGTCATCAGGATGGACTCAAGTGCCTCACTTCCTTACCTGGGGTGAAGATACTAGGGAAATC